GCATCTCTGCAGATTGAACACTTAGGCAAGACAATGACAGGCTCTCTTCCTGTTGTCACTTCTCATTCTGGGCCCAGTCTAAAGCCTCTTACTGGGCTTCTGCCAATAACAGACCCCCTCATCCCTCCTCCCCAAACCATCAAACAACCAGAGTCTACCTATCGTGGATAGAAAAGGAACACTTGATGTCTGTGACACTCATTTGTCAATTAGAAGGCCCCTTCCAGTGTTGACATACAGCAACTTGAAAGACAGAGCGGCCCCTGTGATGAATTAAAAGAGACAGATGAGTGAGGCTTGAGCAGCGGAGTAATACTATAATGTTTCTTAGATATGAATATAAAACGACACAGTTGACAGGCCATACAAGGTTTTATTTCATTTCTCAGTGTACTAGGCCTCCCTACTTTGTCTTCTTTGTTCTCTTTTCATCAGACTACTTACATCTCATTTTGACAGCCGTGCGACATTTAGAGCACTTTCGTTTTAAAATGCAAGTTAGCATACTTGATTTGTCATTAAAATGCAAAACGCCTGCCATCACCAACATGGCCTGGGTGAGCACATACCCCCACAGACAGAGGCACACACATTGCATACATACACACACACACACACACACACACACATACAGTAGATGTGTGTGCCTAAGTCCAATATGGTCTTCCTATTCTTGAGAGCAGGCTGAATTTAAACTTTGGCGGATTTTATGTAGCAGATCGACTCCTGACATTAGACTTTTAAGTATACCAGAGAGTAATGTCAGTGTTTCAGATCATAGAGTGGGTCACAAGGGATATGAGCCCATGTAGGTTAACGACTGAATTAAAGATCTTTGTGGTAAGAAAATTTAGAGGTGGAGTGCTTGACTTTTACCTGTAAATTAACGTCCTTGACATTCAATGCCTCGCCTAATAAGTTCAAACGACGCTGACTAACGCTTTCAGCAACAGGTTACATTCCTACATTGTTGCACAGATAGCAGTCATTAAGTTAGTGGCTAGGGGCTATGGCTAATAATAATATAACATTAATGTGGGAGCTAACATTATCACTCCTGCTGGTCAGAATAACACAGCCATTTAATGTCTAAGTCCAAGATTAAGTCAAAGAAAAGTCTACCATGCTCTCACAGAAATAGTGAGAGCATACGTTACCAACTCTATTTGATCAGCAATGGAAATATGGTGCCATGTCACCAAAAGCACATCTAAAAATGTTGTTTATGGTTTTTTTTCCCCTAACTAAGAGAATCCTAAAATATAACATTATATATTTGTAATTTTGTCCCTTTTTTATTGAGTATTTTCCTGAGTATCAGTGTCACATTTAAAATTCTGATATTGTGAAAACTGAGACCGACTGCAAGGAAAAATAGACATTGGTATCTTCTCATGCATGGAAAAATGTCAAAGTTACAGTTTCATGTGACATTTACCAAATGTCTCTAGTATCTCCAATATTTAAAGGTATTTCAAAGAATCACTGTGATTGCACAACTTTAATAACTCTTGTTTGGAAACTTTGCTTCAATTTTAATTTTCATAATACAAGAAATTATTAAATTTTACAAGCTGGAGTACATTAAAGGATCTTCTCTCACCTAAACAACTGAAAAGTTTCTGCGTGCCCACCTTTATCTGGCATATTTTACTTTACCAAACAAAAGCAGATTTATATAACAAATCTTTTACGGTATTTGGATACATTTACCAAATAAAAGGACATCAATCTTTTTTTCTTTTCCACTTGTCTCCATAATTTTCTTTGGAACAACTTTGATCTTTTGCTCATACCGAGGCTCACGCAAAGGATGTTTGCCTGTGGTTGGCACGGAGCTCTGGATAGCTTTATCTACTTTGTTTTTGTTAGCTTCTTTAAAATGTTCAGCTAGGCAAAGTTGAGTGAAGCGTCTAATTAGGTTAGTTTTTACAATCTTTTTTGTACCTCCCCCACAGTTTACTTTGGCAAACTTTGTGTCTTCACTCACAGTGAGGTGTTTCCAAGCTTATGATATTTAACATGTCTGTGCCACCGTGCATGCATGAAACGGACCAGCTCATAATAGGATATACTGGAGGCTGAGTACCTGATCCAGGCTTAGAAGACTGAAAATGGACCGATTCAGTCAGTCAGTATATCTCTATACTTCGGTTTTAAAAATATATATATAACTAAATTGATCAAATAGGCTTACTGGAAAAAGTAGAGTTTTAAGATTTCACAACTGGCTGTTGATACCCAACTGGGATTTGTTCATCAGGATGGTTTGTCTGATTTCTGAAGACAAGTATCCCTGTTGTAATAGTGTTAGGATTCTTCCTGAGACTCAGAGACACATGTCCTCTTCAATCCTCGTGTGTCCAGGGTGATAACACTGCATGTAACAGTCACAGCAGGGAAATCGTGTCAACATAGCACATGCTCCTTCACAGCACTGTATACACAACTGACCTGGAACAAAGTGGACAACACAATACCAACCAAGCCCTTCCTGGGACAGAAATCTCACTGTGAGCCACAGTTCTCAACACATTGATGAGACAGGCTGACACTACAGCACACAGAGGGAGAGGTGTAGGTGTGACAGCCCACTACCATAATTTCATCCTGCCATTACCTGCCCAGCCACTCACAGTTATGCTCACAGAGACAGATGAGCAAACACTGCACGCAAGCAAACATCCACAAGCACACACACAAAATAACAAACATATGCGCTACACGCACACAAAACCACACAGGACTCAGTTAAAGCCAATGCCAGCACCTTGCTTCTCGTTGTGACTCATTGTCAGGTTGCTGGATGAGTGTTGTCAATTGAGCTGACAGAAATAAGCACATTAGCTACAACAAACTCTGGCAATGTCTCCCTCTAGATTTGAGTCAAGCAGCATGAAGAAGTGCACGATGCTGAAGGTAGTCCACTGAGTTTAACCAACATGTGCATTTGTTTACACCTGGTTTGCTTGAGCTGACATTGAAACAAGGTCACGGTGTCAATATTCACAAATGTCTCTGACGTAGAAGAGCAGCAGAATTTTGAATGTTATCATTATGAGATAAATAACAGTGTTTACCTATCTGGTGTGCAGATTTCCTATATTATAAAGGTGAAAGTGTGCTTAGAAACTTTTACCAATAATATTGGTTATAACCTTGTCAAATGATTCAATACATTGTACAGCAGCACAAAATATGATGCATCAGTGGTTTATTGTTTCTTGTATATCAGAACTGGGGAATGGGAAATGAATAGTGGGTGCTACAACTTTGTCACATGTTGACGTGTTTATCCAGTTTCTAATGTGGTCATGTGTGTTTATGGTGATACCAGAAGGAACTAATACTAGCATGTTGGCAATGCATACTTTCATCTTTTAATGTTCTGTTATATTAATGTCATGTAATGTTGTTGGAATCAGCTTTAACACACTGTACAAACACTCATTTTCACAGCAAGCGCAAGAATGAACCAGAACCCAGAAATTGAGGAAAATAAAGCAGCTTTGAAAATAAAATCTAGCCAAATCTAAAGCTAAATCATTAGAATTAAGCATGGTATAACATCACTTTTTCCACTACCAAACCATCAATCAATATTGCACAGACGTGAGCCCTAAATGGTTCAAGTATTGCTTAGCTTACTTCTGCACCACTTCTCTGTGCATACCACCCTTTGAAGTTTAGTAATGATATCTGACATCTGAGATTAGCTGAACTGAAAACCAATAATAAATTAGTCATTTCTGAGTCATAAATATTTCATTTTAAACATGAAGCTCTTAACGTGACAGCTTCAAGGGCAACTCACATAATGCCCGTCTTGATATCCCCAAAACCCACAGACATAAGAGTTGTTCCAGTCTCATGCCATAATGCTCCCTATGAGAGATTACGTGCTTTCACTTCCTCTGAGGTAACGCCTAAAAACAATTGGTGTCAAACAGTGTATTCAGTACAATGCTTAGTCATCTGACAAGGTGTAATACTATATAGGACTTTTGCTGATTGTACTGGTTTAGGAACCTCACGTATGGTCATCTAATCAAAAGAATATTTATTGTAAGCAAAAAGGACACTTGGTATCATCTTGCCTACTGTTAGCTATTTGAAAACGTAAATGTTTCAAATTATCTGACTATATTTGAATGAAGAGCATGATAGGATACTGCTGGTCAAGGTAATGAGAATGTGGCTACAAATATTTGTTTTACCAGTTGCAGGTGTTTAGACAAAACAAACAAAAGAAAAATGTTTGACAGGTTTCTGTATATCAGGCTTAGCCAAGGACCTAAAGATCTCTGTTTGCCCACCGTAGCAGATTTACAAGGACTGTGACTTACTCAACACCCTGTGTAAAGGTGAGCTCTGCACTGTGTGTGTAAATTCTGTGATAACAGATCATGGGCTTCCAAGAAACTCATGTTGGCCCATTCAGATATTCCTGAACCTTAAAAAAGATTTTTCAATTGAGGGGTTTTGCACCATATAAATCCATTTAAACTCCAAATACCCACTACAGACAACTGCCTCGAGACAACAATTTCTAACCAGAAAAGGGCCCAACTGAGATGGCTTCATGGCCTGACAGTCATGAAAGGGCTTCAGAAACAAAAGCACCTTATAACCATCATCTCTTTTCTTTTACTTGCCACATCAACTATGCTAGTCCTGCTGTTGAAATGGCAGCCCCCTCTGAAGCGGCTGCCACGAGGTGCTCCTTCATGTCCTGACAGAGGAATCTTTTCTTCTATTTGCCCCTGAATTAGCATGTCACATTTATCGATGATGCCTTTTATCCCGCCCCAGCGTGGCACCAGCCCAGTCCTAACACTCATTCAGCTTTTTGATCTTCTGATGACACCGTGACCACCTGTAAACCCAGGGTACGCATTCAGTTGCACCTGATGTGAAGATGCATGTCTCCCAGTAGCAGGCAGAGGAAGATGTAGGAAGATGTGCAGCTGATTACATGTTGTGCGCTTTGCTAATCTTACCTGAGCTGATTAAAACTCAGATCCAGCCTTCGTGCAAACTGGCCATAGGTCTCTCCAAGGAACTCTGGAATTTCCTTACAGTCGTGCCCAATGTATGAAATCTTTGAAAATTAAAAAAGAGAGACATATAAAGACTGCATCTCTGACAGGGGGAACAGACACATTTTTCATGATATCCCAACAACAACTTTTTAATTAAATCTGAATAACATACACAGCCTTATACTGCAACACTTGGCGAAACAGCTGGATAGGATGCCTCACTGTAAAGCCGGATGGTTTCTAAACTACACCTGTCTTTCTGTTAATGCAAAGGGATAACTAATCTTTTCCTCTGTATGCTTTTCACTTCTGCCCCTGTGAACTTACATTTCAACAAACCGCCTTGCACTGGGTACACTTTATTACATTACTTATTACAGAGTTTATTTTTGTCAGTGAAGCTGTAAAAGAAGCGAAAGTCACATCTGTAATGCTAGCTTCAGCGTGTCACATGACTCTAGTGAAGTCGAGGAAACAAACACAGCAGCATAACTTCAGCGCTAGTAAATTATTTAGAGTGGGGCTTAAATAAAAAAAAAAAGTGCCATATTACACAAGCAGGGGACAAAGTCTGAGAGAAACACTCTCCTAAGCAAACTTACCTGAGTCCCATTCAATGCGACCAGCGACTCGTTGTTTGCCATATCTTTCTCGCCCACTGCTTTTAGATTAACTATCCGAGTCACTGCACTTAAAAAAAAAAATCCGCTTACGAAAGAAAGACGTTACGTTTTGGTTTACGTTGAGCGCTGGTGTTTGTGGGTGAAGACCGAGTGCTTTGGAGAACTAGTGGCGATTTCAAATTGACTTTACTGTTTCCGCGTGCCGTTTCAATCAGCTGACCTGCTGTTGTGCGGAAGCACGCGGTCGCTGTTGCTGATCAAACTTGAGTGCTGCTGACTGTTTTCCTAATGACAACATTAGATTCAGACTGGATGTGTGCACGCCTCTCGGCTAAAATACTGAAACATTGTGGGAAAAGAAGTCCAGGTAGGTAGAACACCTGGTCTCAGTAAACCATACGGGGGAGAGGGGGGCGTGGAGAGCCATGCTGGTAATAAAACATACATATACACAATAATAGAGATTAGATCAAACCTGAAGTAAAATCATTTTAATTGCCCATGTTAGTCTGAGAAGCTGCCTCTATTTTAACCAGAGCGTTATGGCGGTTCTTTACTGGGGGGTTACATCAAGTATGTAAGTATTTTGGATGTAAAGCTATAACATAGCAATCAACAATCAAGAACCTCATTTTGAGTCAGTTTTCCAAATGGCACTATCTATGGTAAGTCTTGACAACATCTTCTTCCCACACAATTGGGCTCAGTGCTGCCCCCATCGCCCTTGACAAGTTTCTTATTTAAAGGGTAAGTTACTCAACTTTTTCTTTTTTTTTTCTTTTTGCATAAATGATGCTATGTTTATCTCTGAGTTCAGTGTTTCTCATACGTTGGCTTTAAAAAAAAAATTAAATTAAAAAAAAAAAAAAATAAAATAATAAATATATATATATATATATTAATAGATTCAAAATCAATTGTTATGTGACTGAAGTTCAGACGTTTAGGTTTAATTCAGAGTGTTTATTTAAAAAATAGGGTTTATACCTTTTTTTTTTTTACATATACCCCATTTACAGAGGCTCAAAAATAGTTAGACAAACTTATATAATTTCAAGCATGAGGCTTGTTTTTTAATACTTGGATGAACAGCAATGACTGGATAAAGTCTAGAACCCATTGGGATCTCTAAATCCTGCGTTTCCTCCCTTATGATGTTCTATCTGCCTACCGTTGCTGCTTGTTTGTGAGTCGTTCTGCATTCAGTTTTATTTTCAATAAATGAAAAAGCACGGACTACTGGGTTGAGATCAGGTGACTAACTTCACCATTGAAGAATATCCAATTTCTTTGAATGCTTTGAGACATTATCCATTTGCACTGTGAAGCACTGTCTGGTCAGTTTTGGAGCATTTGATTCAGTCTGAGCAGAGAGTGCAGTACCCTGTACACTTCATACAATTCATCCTGCTGCATCTATGAGCAGTCACTGGTGACCTGGTTTCACTAGCAGCCATATGTACCCATCCCATAACATTAGCTTCATCCATGTTTGACAGATGATGTAGTATGCTTCTGAGCTTAAGACCTTTCTCTCCTACTACATACCCCTCCCTTTCCATCATTCCGATGCTAGCCAAGTTCATCTTGGTTTCATCTCGGAACTGTTTTGTGACAAAGTATAATCTGTCCTGCTTGTTATTGAGCATAATCAGTAGTTTGCGCCTTGTTCTGAATGTTCTGTATTTTCCATTCATGTTGGTATCTCAGTTTTGTGGACTTTGATAGTGATACAACTGACTGTCAAGAATGTACCAGACTGTCAATTTTGCAGAGATTTAGATCTCTCAGATAGATTTATTTTGTTTTTCTAGTCTAATGATTACCAAAAGCTTGTTCCATATTTTAAAAGCTCTGTTCAGACTTCATAATTACCCCTTTTGTTTCTTCCACTTGACAGTATGATGTGGAGTATAACACATTTGTCCTGCTAGTTATAAAACTAAACATGGTGTCAAAGGTCTGTGAAATTGCAACATTCTGTGATCATTTTGTCCAGACCACAGTACAAAAAACTGCAATAGCTTTCCTTTTAATATTAGAATGCACTGGTCTGTGTACAGAATGTTGCTGTGGAGCACCAAACCTAATATTACAGAAATATGTTCCAAGACCAAGATCTTTGAATTTTTCAGTTGTTTGAAATTTGATATATAAACACATGTATGGATACTGACTGTCTCATTACATAATGACAGACATTTGCACGAACGATCTGGGATTTACCTTTGACTTGAATGCTCCTGAGCACAAAAGATAGTTTTGTGTCACTACAATGAGGCTACAATTTGTGTGGGCTTACCAAATGTGGACAACAGAAACATTGCCTAAACTGATGAGTCTCAGTTTGAACAGCACAAAAGCACAGATCTATCCTGCCTTATGTCAACAGCTCAGTGTTGTAATGGTGTGAAGGATATTTTCTTGGTAGACTTTTGGCCCCTTGGTTACAATAGAGGATGATACACAGCCTGCCCAAGTATTGTTGCTGACCTTCTCAATCTCTTTACGACTGCAGTGTATCCATCTTCTGATGGCTGCTTCCAGGAGGATAACACACCCTGTCACAAAGCTAAGATCATCTCAAACTGGTTTCTTGACAGTTCACTGTACATACGTGGCCTCCACAATCACCAGATCACAATCAAGTAGAGCAGCTTTGGGATGTGGTGGAATGGCAGATTTGCATCATGAATATGCAGCTGACAAATATGCAGGAACTGTGTGATGCTTTCTATTTGGACCAAAATCCTTGAGCAGTGTTTCCATCGCCTATCCAACAAAGAATTTAAGTAGTTTTGAAGAGAAAACGGGGTCTAACCATATACTAGCAAGATGTACCTAATAAATTATCTGATGTAGGTATCTTGTATATCTGTATAAAAGCTGCTAATAACTTTGTGCTATGTAATTAAGGTTTGTTTCTGACAAAATATTTACAACCACATATCTTTTATACTAGTTTTGAACCGTGCTAGTTTTGTCAAGCCACTGTTTCAGATGCAGTGTAGTCATGCATGCTCTTGTGGTCAAATATTCTTTTCTGGATCATTTAAACGTGATTATTATGGATGGGATATTATTTATATTCTAAATATATACTTATTTGTTATTAACAAAAACGATAAACTTTTCTTACAGGCTATCAGTCCTTAATTTTGTATGTGCAGTCAAAGACTGACGTTCCCACCACAGTGCTGTGTTTGTCCTGCTCTAGTTGAAGCTTTGGCAACAAGTAAGCTGACTGCTTTAATGAGGTATGTCGCAGTCCTGCTTACTTGTGGGTCACAGTGGTTCACTGTTTAGAGACATTAGAAAGTTTGCGAGCGCCATAGGCCTGCTGCTGTTCATTGCACATTGCTCAGCCAGCTTGCCTGCTGCATGTTTTGTGACGTCACCTATAAGACCTCCCACACGCGGAAAAGCTCACTCTCTCGCCGCCACTCTCCCGGAGAGAGTGAGCGAGGGAGAGTCTGCATGGCTTCGGTCCTCGCTGTGTTCCTTGCTTCACTTCGACAGTGTATTGAGTGGTTGTGTTTGAGTAATGCCAAACAGGGTTTCTTTTAGACACAAGGACTACGTCTTAATGTCGTTACACTGTTGTTGTTGTTTTTTTGTTTTTTTAAATCGTTTTTACCTCTCTGACGTTTTACATCGGAGCTTAGTAGGCAATGATTCCAGGTAATGTCGTGTCACGGACTTTCCTGTAATCCTGTCCTTCCATGGAGTTTTAGAGGGGAAACAAATCTACTTCATGCATGTACTTTAATAGTTTTAATAGTCTGCTATCCTGGCCCGTGCACATCTTCTTTTATATTACTGCTACGCGGAGATTCTGTGCCTCTCTGTCGCTGTCTTTGTACACTTTAATTATTGCTAGAATATATTTATAAATAATAAACGGCAAACGGTCTAAAATGAAATTAATATCTTTATGGTAACGTCGTGAATAGCTCCCAAGCAGTTTGTATATAGGCCCAAAATAAAGTAGCGTTTACACCATAGCCTTAAAAAAAACTGAAGGTACGCATTTAGGAAAGTTGTTTAATTATATATTTGATATTTAGTGTGGCTGCATAAATCAGCCCTAATAATGAAATGTGTTCTTCCTCGCTTCATCACAACAAGTCGGCCCAGCTCTGTAATCCTACAAGTCCAACATAAAGTATTTCCTCGCGAGATGTAAATGGTTGTATTTGCATGCGGAGTGATTCATAAACATGTCAGTGTTATGAAATATATGGGGGATATTAAAACTTTCTATTTAAATATCATGAATTATGGTCGCAAAAATGTGTTCCCATTTAAGAGGAATGCCGAGTATTTTGGTGTCTGGTGCAGAAGCCCATTCGTCATAGGGACAATAAAGAGGGTTTTCGCCTGACAGTGAAAATTTATGGTTGCCCTTCTTTGCCCTAATAACTCACATATTGTGTCACGGACTGACATCCCTTGCAGAAAATACCAAGCCTGTTATCAATCACACATCTTTGCATATTGTGAAACGTCCCCCCTCTTCTTTTCTTCAAGAAAGAAAAAAACAGAAGACTGAGAACATTCGTAGAAATAGAGATCCGCTTACTTTGACTTTTTCCTTCCTCCCTCTCTTAGAAACACACATATTACGCTGAGAACAACATGTCTTATTTAGAAGTCGACATGTATTTATATTGCATGGGATATGTAGACAAGATAGAGAAGATAGTTATTAATTTCTTTATTAGTGCACCTTTTACAAAGTTGAAATCAGCTGTGGGCCTATAAGGTAAAAACTTTTTTCCTACCTGTCTTTTTTTTTAGTCTTTTGTAAGTTTGCTCTGTAAATGTTTTATTATATTCACTCCAAAATTTAACTAATTAAAAAAAATATGGGACTCGAAAAAAATATTTTTTTTATTTTTCATTTTTATTTTTCTCAACAAAAAAAAATTCAATTCAGTAAAAATAAATAAAATATTGTGCAGCCTTGACTGTCCACTCCAGGTTTTCTTGCTCTCCGTGTTGACCTGTCAAGCAGATTACCACAGAAAGAGATTAATGGCAGAGGCGGGTTGCAATAATAATCGTTTTGTTTGATGTGACAACTTTGATAGGCGTTGATTTACTTACAAACTGATAGGCTTTTAATTGAGCGCCTCCATCCCGATTTAGATGAAAGGAAAACCACATTGAAAAGCTGCCCGA